AATAATATTTTACCATTAACATAAATATGTGAACACCATAATTGGTCTCACTATTAACTAATTTTTTATAATAGAAAGTTTAGATTCTTAAGGCTGGAACAAATGATAGAAATTGTAGAAGTACCTTTTTCTTAGCAAATATTTTAAGAGGATTAAATTAGCAGCATTAATGATACTACCCCCTCCAGAACTCTTGAAGAATGTTATTAAGATTATAACATAGGTAGGACCAAAATTAACATACAAGGTGATAGATTACAAAAGTATAAACTGATACCTATTTGATCTGAGCATGATTTCCCCTCTTCCAATTAAGGAAGAAAGAAAGGAAAACTTATTTAAATGGTTAACAGGTAGCAATAGTATGAGTGGATGGGACAGGAAAGGTGGGAAGTATCTTTAAGCCATAGGAAAGGAAATTGTCAACAAAAATGTGTATGTAACAGTAAAATTGTAAATCTTATTAGTGGCCCTAGTATTTCTTTCTCCAGATCACTGTAATAGTCTATTATGAGCAAGATAAAATAAAACATTAACAAATGAGCATCAAATCAGAATATATGTGTAAAATGTCTTGAATATCAAGTGCTATACAAATTAAAACATATTAATATCAAAACATAATTTATTATCACTTTGTAAAACTGAAATGGTCATTAGGTAATACGCACAAAGGTTTACCACAAATAAAGATTAAAAAAAATAAGAAAAAACAAAAACAACTGACTGATAAGTACTTCTGGATAGCAAACTATACATATTAAAATAGACACTGCAATTATGCCCCTTAATCACACTGAGACTAAGGTATAGGTGACATTACTATATGATTATTCTGTTTATAAGACGCACTTCTCAGCATTATATAAATGTGTGGGCACACGAGACAAAATGGAACTTTTTAATTCTCTCTAAAATAACTATTTGGGACATAAATAGCCTTATATTGTTTTATTTTATGTAATAACAACAAAATATCCAAAATGAAAACAAAAATTCCAAAGAGTCAAATAAAAATAGAGACATTAACACCATTAACACATCACTAAGAAAGTACCTTCAAAATCCTAAGAACATTCATACTTTCATACAAACTGCTGCATTACTGTAACTTATTTAAGGGGTTACTTTTTAAATGTGCATAATAGAATAGTGAATATACCTCAGTGCAGAGGGAAATGTTTGGTTATATGTATTAATACTCCACTTTTAAATTTTAATATTTATAAGCTAAGCTATATGCAAATCTTACCATTCCCCTTCCCTTGAATGCAGCTTTGCGTAATATCCAACCCACCAATAAGATTCAATGGACTCTTAGCAGTCAAAGTAGTGCTGTAGAGCACTATCAAATACTCAGTGCTGTATAGAGAAACATTAGCCCAGATTTTTCCTAAAGATTCTCTTCAGAAACTCCTTTCACTGGGATAATTTCTTATATTACAGTACAGAATTAATATACTAACCTTTAAGCAACTGAATACTGGAAACCAGAGTTCAATCCTTATTAGGCTAAATACTCTGATGGAGGGAAATATAGGCTTTACTTAAATAAAAGCAATGCTCATTCAAAATCACTATGCTAGAGAGCTATAAGCCATGCATAGTTCTATATGAACATGAAGAAGCCATTGAAAATGCTCACTAATTTTTTACACAAAAATTTAAATTATCAGAGTCTAATTTTAAAACAGCTATTACTGAACATTATGAACTAAACCTTGTTCTGACTCATTCAGAAACTTAATTCTACAATTACGGATGTGCTCAATGCGCATCCAGCACCCG